CCACCAGTCAATTTGTTCTGATGTTAAATTCTTTTCTTCGCATAGGAAATCCCGATCCCTTTTCCCTGGTCGTCTCTTCCCCTTATGCGAGACCCATCGTCGCAATGTCGACGCCTGATCATCCGAAAGCGGCTGCATGTTGGAATATTTATTAAAGAGATAATTGCGAGCCAAATAACTGCACGGCCGTCAAAGAAGAAGTATAGAAGGGCACCAGCTTCACAACTCAACAGGAGCAACTCTTGAACGAAAGTGGAGACGATGGCGAATGCTCTGTACCATCTAAAGAATTCAAGAATCCCTCGAGAAAATGTTTCTGGCTCGGGACTCCCAAGTTCCCAACCACTCCCCGCTCACTCTCGAGTAGGGGGGGGTTATGTACGTTGTATGCGCCATCATCCCGTTCCCCCAGGGCCGTCACGCACCACAGCTTTGCAAATCGAGTTCTGTGGTAGGGCGAGGGCAAGCAAGCACCCATACTCCGTACTCCAGAGGGCGTGCATCCTTGTTTCAGGATCTGCAGTTTGGAGGATTTTTCCCGCCCTTTTCAAAGGAATCCAGCCTAAGCGGCCTTCCCCTTTTACTCCCTTTTCTCCTCGTTTCGACAACCCCACCAATCAGCGCGCGAGAGAGGCCCTGGGATGAGAGGCTCAACACTCCATCTAAGTCCATCAGGTCCCATCATTGGACCCACGGTCGTTTCAAAGGCAAGCCGCATCCAGGAGTTGTCGCTTTCTTTCGCTCTCCTTTGGATGCGTCGTGCCCACGCATTGGATGGAATCGCGATGTTCTGCCTGCACGTAATACGGGTCTCTCGACATCATCTGTACAGTGTACGGACTCCGGAGGTACAACCGTGCTGAGGATGTCTCTCTGTCAGTGTCAACCTAGAAGAAACTTGAACGGCAGGGAAAGTCAGGGAAAGGCAGGGAAAGGCAGGAAAGGCAGGGAAAGGCAGGAAAGGCAGGGAAAGGCAGGAAAGGCAGGGAAAGGCAGGGAAAGGCAGAGATAGGCACGCATGTTCGCTAGACGGAGTGATGTCCTCTGATTTGAAGATGGAGAGCGTCGAAACACAGCTCCAGATTGTTTCGTCGCTGCCCTTCCTTCGCCGTGATGTTGCTGCTGCTCCTCCTCCTCGCTTCTCCTGAGGATGTTTCGACATCAGCTCTCCGGGGTAGCATCGTCTGCCGAGCAAACCGATATCACTCGAACAGCTCACAATGCCTTGTTCCTCCTCACTAATAAGCCACGGAGAGGAAGGGCGCTTGCGCTTCAGTCAGACTTACGGAGAGGCGCCGATATCGATAATTCCCGCGTCTAAAGATGCGTCATTGCTACTTGCACCATGGGTACGCAGTATTTGATGACTGCGTCTATCCCGGTGTCTATTTGAGATCTATCAAACCCGCCCAGATGCAAGCTAGGGACGCCATGAGTTCGTGCTGTACAACGTCATTGTTGTAGGCAAACGGCGGGGTCGCTGCCTGGGTCTTGTGGTACTGTAAGGTTAACCCCAAGGTAAACTGTAAGATTCTCGCCAACCTCCTCCTGCGCGGCATGGTAATTATAGAATTTCGCCTGTGATAAGACTTATCATGCTCATCGCCCTCTGCATTCCAAACTTCTTGATTATACATTATTAGATAAATCCCGATACAGATAACAATATCGATATCGATATGGAAGTTTGAAACGAGTCAGTGGTGTTCGGCGTATGAATTGAGACTCGTATCCAGACTTGGGTTTCGGTCAGAGAAACAAACACCTGGGACGTATGTTTAGATTCAATCGAATCGTATCGGCACCATTGATCAAAGTCAAGGATATCGAATTCAATGAGAGAGTCAGCCTTGTTCTAGTTTTGAGTCTTGGACTTGATGCTAGAACTAGCCTTAGGTACAGAAGATGCGCGGGATGCGAAATATATATTAAAGTATCGAATGCTCATCGGTAGTACGTTCAAATCCAATCAATGTAGCAAACTGTGTTGGTTATTAGCAAGAATCAATAGGAGATACGATGATTACACGGATAGCAGGCGCCATTGCGATATACACCAAAATCGACCTTACCAATCTGAACTTATCACGATTTACTTTTTTGGGCAAGAGATTTTCGCCTGGAGCCGAATGCAAGATGCTATTCTATATTCAATGTCTTGGCTTCCAATGACTTTCGAAGAATGGTCTTAGCAATTCAGAAGCATATACGGAGTATCATTAGGCTTGACTTTCCCCACCCATATATTCATCCATCTTACAACTTCGCCCTTCCCTCGGTGGCCTTATGCAAGTCTCCCCCTTTCTCCTTAAAATACTCCTCAATCTTCTTCCTCGCAACCTCAACCACAGCAGCATCCTCAACCGTAGCCGGGACCTGTACTTCCTTGTCAAATTCCTCGTGTACCGCGTTCTCCACTAGTTCTCTCAGTACCCTCCTGAGTGTCTTACCACTGCGAGTCTTGGGGATCATGCCTTTGCCTTGAATCATGCCGCCTAGGGAAGCGATAGCGCCGATCTGGGTGCGGACTAGCTTTTGGACTTCGGACATAAGTTCAGGAGAAGGGATTGCGGGGGTAGGGTGGGAAGCGGTTGAAAGGGTAATGAAGGCGAATGGTAGGTGTCCTTTTAGGGCATCGGGAACACCTACGACGCAGCATTCGGCGATTGTTGGATGAGAGGAAATTGCTTGTTCGATGGAACCTATATAAGGGTGAGTATGGATTGGATGTTCATAGCGTTGAAGACGTACCTGTGCTGAATCTGTGCGCTGCAACGTTGATAATGTCATCTGATCTCGACATCACGTGGATGTAGCCATCGTTGTCGATCATTCCAGCATCACCGGTGTCAATCCATTTCCCTTCAAAACGCTTTATATATCCTTTGTAGAATCGCTCTTCATCTTGCCAAAGTGTTCTGAAGCCCGTAGGTGCCAGAGGCATCGCCATGACGATATTGCCCATCTTTCCCTTTTCAACTTCCTTACCAGAGTCATCTACAATCCTGACATCGAAACCTGGCATGGCTTTTCCAGCACTGCCGGGCTTGATGCCTAATGTTTCCACACTTCTCTCCGTCGTCTTGCGGTCTTTACCGGCATGGGGTACGAGAGCGATGCCAGATATTGGTGATCCAGATTCCGATGACCACCAATTATCAATGACTTTGGCGTCTTTAGCGCAGTAGCTTTTCAAGAGATCTTGATACATGGTGATAATACTAGGTTCCGATCTCTCACCCGCGAGAAAGAGTGCTTGTAGGTTTTTCAAGCCACCCCGTTCACCAATCTCCTTGAACATTTTATTCTCTGGGTCATCCCGGCGAATAGCTCGTAGGGCCGTCGGCGCCGTAAACAGCGAGCTGACTTTGTATTCTTCGAGAATCCGCCAAAAAGTGCCCGCATTTGGTGTGCCCACAGGTTTGCCCTCAAATAGGATTGTGGCTGCGCCGGTGAGGAGAGGTGCATATAAAATGTAGGAATGTCCCACCACCCATCCAATATCTGAGGCGCAGAACATTACATCGCCTGGTCCGTGGATTCCCATGAGATAGCTGATGGATAGATGGAGCCCTACAGCATGACCACCAGCTTCTCGAAGAACACCTTTTGGTAGGCCCGTCGTGCCCGAAGTATAGATGATGTACACTCCATCGCTTGATTTCACAGGGACGCAGTCTGCTTTCAGCCCTCGTGCGCGGCCACTTCGCACTAGACGTTGCCAATTTCTATGACCGTTCAATTTGTCCACATTGTCCCATCGAAGCTCGTCTCGTTGCCAGATTATGGTCTTGCTTGGTTTGTGGGAGGAGATATCGATTGCTTCTGTGATGTATGGCTTGTATGCCATAGGTGGTTTAGTGCCGTCAATTCCACATGAAGCTGTGAGAATTGCCACTGGTTTTGACGCTTCTATTCGTTGTGCTAGCGAGGCTGGAGCAAAGCCGCCAAATACTACAGCGTGAATTGCGCCGAGTCGTGATATTGCGAGTATTCCGATTAAGGCCGCAGGTATCATAGGCACTATAAAATAGCTTAATTAGCAAAGGACTTTCATTAGAAACTAACATGAAATATCCATGCCCTGACAGAAACGCTCATGTAAACTTACTATAAATCAGTACTACATCTCCTTTCTTGACACCCTCGTCTCGCAGAACTCCGGCAAATACCTCAACTTCATCTAGCACTTGCTTGTATGTGTATTTCTGCTTCGTTTTCGTTACCGGACTATCCCAAATGATCGCAGTCTGGTCTCCATTTCCCGCAAGAACATGTCTATCCACGCAATTGTAGCAGGTTGAGATCTCCCCGCCCTCAAACCATTCCCAGTGATCATGCTTGACTCCAGACTTCAAGGACTTCTCGACTTTCGTGAGAGTTTTGGTGGGCTTTTTGTGCCATGTGAGGTGGGAGGCTTGCTCTGCCCAGAACGACTCGGGGTCAGAGAGGGAGTGGTTTTGGACTTCGTCTTGTGGATGGGATGCCATTGCCTACGCTTTTCATTTGTTAGACATCGCATCTGAAAGAGGGGACAACTTACTGCCAGGTTAACAGGGAGCACTGAGTCGAGCTATTGCAGACGGTCAATTGTTCAAGAGAAAGTGTCTAGCCTGAGACTATAGCACAGAAGATTAAGAGGAGTTGAACTTGCTTTGGACCAAACGGAAAAGAGAATTGCAAAAGAATGAAGCTCAAATTTAAATAATCAGACCCAGGAGGTCTGGGGTAGCCACCCCAGGGACTGTCAGTCTGTCAGACGTGGACCGTAGCCCGAAGTAGCATAATTGTTCCCAGTGACAATAGCATTGTCTGTCATGGAAACCAATGAGAGTGCTTTCATTCCCCGCACCCCCAGAAACACAAAAAGCTGAGATTCTCCAAGCTCGGTTGAGGAACACGGCCCCGTTTGTCCGACCTCCGTGTTCGCTTCGACCCCCCCACGCTAGTGTGGATTGCAAAGGCTTTGATAAATTCAAATAGTCACGAATCCTTCATCCGGAAGCGTGGCCGAGTGGTTATGGCGTGTGACTCAAGCTTGATTTATATCAGCTTCAGAAGATTTCTTCTGAGTATTCTCATAGGGCAACCTGCAGGGGTTCGAATCCCCTCGCTTTCAGACAGTTTTTTTCAACTTTTTTCCGTCTTTTGACTGTGTTTCTCATGTCCAATTAACAAGCGATTAAACACTTCTTCTTCACAACCTATCATCAAATTGTTTTTTTTGCCTTGGGCACTGCAGCTGAAAAGATCTTTGATCAATGGGTAGATTCCCTTATAGCAAGAGATAAAACGCTTCTGCTGGACTTTAGACTTGATTTTGAAAATAGTATGCATCAGAACTGGACTGAGTCACTTGGTGGGAACAACAGGGGTTGTCATGATTCCGTGCGCACCCCCAAAAACACCAAAAACAAAAAAGTCGTGACTATAAATAATACACATCAGCTTAGTAATGGCACCACTAACACGCACGTAGCCCTTGAGAACTCCATCTCCTGTTCCTCTTGCTAATAGAGAAGCTACAACTACGCGGAAATGTAGATTCTTTAACGCGTTAGTAAATCCTAAGGATTCTCGCTCCCTCCGATCGATTTCAAAAGACTATAAGATTGTAGAATCTACAGGCCGCAAATGGAAGGCGTAATACCTTGAATTTGGCATAGATGCAAAGAGGAGGTTACGCCCTCGATCGAAGGTACTTGGAGGCAAATCCCGCGTTACGAAGTAGATGTGTAAAAACAACCTTACGAAGCTTAAATCGTATACCACAAACTACCTATTAAAACACGCCAATTGTAGAGGAAAATCAAGGAGTATACAAAAGGAGGAGTAAGATATCTTTGTGCCTTTATTAAGAAGGGTATTTCAGCTAAAAACAAAGATAGTAGGGTAGCGTACGGTGAATAGTATATCTACGACCCTCTCTTTGGATTCTTCGATCATATCGTCTATACCGATAAAGCACATATAGACCCTACTTCGTAAACGTAAGGCAGAATACTCCGTGAGTAGGGAGCCCGCGATTTGCCCGAGAATATCGAAGAACGGCCTCCTTTAAAGGGTGTACGATTTCACATTGCGGCTTAGATTTCTTAGAAGGGAAAGGTAGAAGAGCTTACCTTTTATAACGACGAGAACGATGCGCAAGATATAATAGAGCCTCCTCCTTACCCTTTACGTCCGCGGCGTCGTCCTACAACTGAAACAGAGGAGGAATATAAGCTACGTGTACAAGAATAGGAAGTAGGGAAGCCGCACGTAGTAGAGAAGAAGGTATAAGGCAATGCTATGACACAGAAGTATTACGTAGAGAAGCTACTGCCTATATATTATAGTGTAGTAGAATCTATGCGTAATATTGACGATAAACCATGGCTTTTGTAAGAGGACGGTGACCCTTCTCACGGTATGCGTAAAGAAGGGCTTGCGTAGTAATATAAAAGAGTGAGGGGTATTAATAACCTTATGTACCCTACGTAAAGTCCTGATTTAAACCCTATAGAGGGTATTTGGAGTATTCTAAATCAAAGAATTAGGAATAGAATCTTTGATTTAGAGGAGGAGATGAAGTAAGCTTTACAAGAGGAATGAAGTAAAATCACGCTACAGGAGATACGTGATCGTATAGCTGATTTGCCTAGAAGATGCGCAGAGCTAGTGCGATCAAAAGGAGGCCTAATTCGTGGAAATAAGTGGTGATTTGGTTGTATAATTGTAGTTTTTGTTGATTTTGGTGTTTTTGGGGGTGCGCACGCAATCATGACAACCCCTGTTGGGAAGTCAGCGTGTGCTTACATAATTAGCGACTGCGCATTTCCCGCTTGAGGACTCATGGCCTACAGAGCTAGGTCGCTGCATGGAGGTACTGTACATGTCTTAATGTCCTTTCAAGATGAAGAGAAATGAAGTTGTTGTCCTATCTTATTTAGTACATTCAACCTCTTTCTTCTCGATGTCCAGGGACACGGAATAGCCGATTGCGGCGTTCTAGACAAAGAAAAGAAAAATCTACTTGATAGATTGTAGTAACCACTTTGGGTGTAGTTAGTGAAACTCCTAACCGCCTGATTAAAACGCTTTTTCTTCTAATTAATACGACGTATAGGGGGAAACAAATGTAAAAACGCTGCCACCTTAGTTAGTATCACCGCTGCTTTGATATCACATCATTTTTATATAGATTTGCCACTTAGTTTTAATAAGGAACTTTACGCTTCTTATAAAATTTGGTTTAAAGAAGCATTGCTGCGGCCGGTAAGCCTGAGGACACCACATTTGTGGTATGAAATGTATGTTCCCCGGGCAAAGTGGCGGAATCTTAGCAAAATCTTAGCCACTAAATTGGCGGATTACAGCCCTCCTAGGACAGATTTTCATTATTAGATAACCTTAAGCAACCTCGATTAGATCCGCTTGCTAAGGGCGGCGTGGGTTGGTGCGGAGGGGGGTATAGGCCTATATTTCCTACAGGCGGCAGCAATACTTCTTAAAACGAAAGTTTATAAGAAGCATAACTTGGGAATGAGGGAACTCGTAGAGAACCATCTTCCATGATACCTTCTGATCAAAAGTGCTAACTCGCTTCTTATCTGTCTCTTAATTTAACTTTAATTGTTCACAGACTATTCTTCCGTATCATGTCTTCAGCTTTGGGAGTTGCTCAGAAACTTCTGCGCCGGGCGCCATCGCTAGCGAACCAAAATTTAGAGCGAGTTACACCTTATATACTCGATAGTTCATTGAAATACGAGGTGAAGCTAAAGTAGTACATCCCAGAAAAACTCTATCCGGTCCCTTATAGGAAGTTTTTAACAAAAGGTATCAGGTGGTTAGCAAATCTTAGGTTTCTTTATTCAGAATATAATTTATCACACACTAGTAAGTTACACTACTAAGTTAACTAATTATTATTCGCTCTTTCTGTCGAGCTTTGGTTTATATCGTTCTTTAAGGGTCAACGCCTCTGACCATTTTCTAGATATCTAAGCCGGGAACATTCTCAAATGCATGGATAATAAGAACGTCGTCACGGAGTTTGAAGAGGCAGAAGTCCGTGATCCAAGTCTATGTGAGGTCGATAGAGATCGTGTTATCTATACCTCTCCCCAAATGCGCGTACGGAGAAGTGCTAGTCATCTAGTACTATGCGACTTTGGCGAGGCTCGAATTAGCGTTAGGAAGTTCACCGATCATATCCGTCTATTTCTGTACTGGGTACCAGAAGTTATATTACAAAAGCCATGGGATAAAAAGTTAGCAATGGAAAGATAATGAGACCATGTTACTGGATGCAACACCAGTGATACAATCCCGTCAAATTCCTCCCCAAATCAGATGTAGAATTCTTGCTTGCTAGAAGGAGCATCGAAATCGCTCTTCTCATCATCATCAGCCTCGCCATTTTGTTTTTCCGTCGTCTTCCTATCCCCATGAATCGTCAACCGAAACTAATTCTGTCCCAATGCAACCAGCGTGGCAACGCCCGCCATCGGAATTGACAACGCAAAAGCCATATGCAGCCCCTTCATGTAACTCATGTTATTTCCTGGTAGTTCCGCCTTGGAGAATGTGGTTTGTATTTCAGATGCACCGATAGCGAAGAGAGAAGCAGGGGTTATGTTTGGACTGGCAGTAGAGAGGGTATTGAAGACTTCATTTTGGAATATGGACTGGGCGGCGGAGACTACGAGTGCACCTCCAAGAGATTAGAAATCTGAGAAGAATGAGATTATTAGTGACAATTCCCGGCTTTAAGATCCGGACGGAATTCGGAGTAGGGAACTTACAAAGGAGAATTGCAGTTGCGTCGCTACCCCGTCCGGTCGTACAATGTTCGGTACAATTATGATAATAGACATTGAAGCAGAGACCGAGCCCAGTTCCCGGGAGAGTGATACCCAATCCAGATATTATGGCTAGAGTCTACTTGTAGTGTTAACATCATGCCCGTAGCGATAGTTGTGAGAATTCCACCAGCGATGAGAAATGTATTGAAAATTTTAGTGGCGCCAATAGATATTCCAGTGATAATTTCAACCAAATCTAGGAAGTTAGCTGGGTTCAAATGGGCAATCCAAAGACTTACTTAATCCAAGGATCAGTCGTATTGTCCATATTCCGGATTCTGTTGCATCAGTGCCCCTGACTGCTCGAAAATAGATCGGAAGGTAATAAACGAGGATATAGAAGTTGCCTGCAATTCTAGAGAAGTACCACCTTTCGGAGTAGCAAATATGGAAACAAGGAACACATGCAAAAGCTAAAAGCACAGCCATGCTCAATAGTCCGATTCTTCAAAACACTCCGCAGTAGGAGAGCTCTCACGCCTTGATGCCATTCAAAAACAAGGAAGACAATGAAAGGACAATACACCCGACTAGTGTTCCGATAACATCAGAAGAGCCCTAGGTTGTTATCACGCTGCCCCATTGCATTGCCAAAAGGTAGCAAACAACTGCTGCTGTTATAACTAAAAGACCTAAGATAAGATGTCCATTTGTAGTAACTTTTCCATCAAACTTGCTTCTGTGGGTTTGATAGCCGTAGGAACCTTGAAAAAAAGAACAATAGAGGCAGCTGCAAGCGCATCGTATGGAAGGTTGATGTAGAAGCTAAATAATATCAGCATAGCTATAATATAGTAGTATGTGAATAAGACTTACAACCAGAGCCAGCCTACCCTATCAGTCAGGGCACCGCCGATTACTTCATGATTAAGGTCAGTTGCTGTAAATCCAAGGAGTACCACCAAAGAATAATATAGAGGGTCTACATGAGAATTTAATAATTCTCAACAGAGAGATAACTCGGTTAGGGGTACCTAGAATTCAAGTACGACACCCCCCATCACTACTTCTGTCCCTTGGTATATCTAAAGCTAATTTGTGCCAAATATAGAGAGGGGATATGCTACATTTTGGACACAATGGACCGTGGGTATAGCTGAATTCTCCGATGCCCCTGCCATGACCGCCTGTTGAGGACATCTATTTAAAATTCTTTAAAGCCAAGCAGACAACGAAATACCTCGAAAACCACGTTGACAGTCACAGCTATCTCGGCAACACTCTACGCGATTGAATGCAGCTACTGGTGGAAGTACCGTCACTGCAGAAG